ACGAAAGAAGAAATATATTCCTAATTAATTTCTAAAATGCCTTCTAATATTTTTACCATTTTTTACTATATATTTTTTTATAGAAAAAATGAAAGAAAGCATTAAAAATTAAAAAGAAACTAAAAGAATCAGGGGGTGAGAATTGCAATCCAAAGGCTATGGTATAGTAAGGTGGCTGGGCGCTAGGCCCAAATCATGAGTCCACCAAGGGGTTTTTGTTCAGCCTTTAGCATTAGATTCCAAAAACCAGAAACCAATGACTTGGGCTTAGAAGCTTGTGATTCGGTCCAAGCAAAAATAACACTATGATTCAATTCTTTTTTTTTTGTTCAATTTATTATTTATTGAAAAAAAAATTAATCAAATGAAGAATACTGAGAGAAATTAGGGTTAAGTACTGTAACCATTCAACTCCATCGTGAAAACAAATAATAGCTCTTTCCTCTCCTCTCTGATCAAGACGGCGCCGCTCACTCAAGTCTCCCCTCCGACGAAGCCTTTTGTGTATCTCGTTCAATTAGTCCATATCCTCCACCATTTTTATCCTCGCACCTTCTTCTTCTCCTTCAATAGACGGCCGCTAACCTGCTCTCTTCCGACGATTCTCCGTCGTCTAGATACCATTTACTTTGTCGTCGAAGTCTTTTCTACCTCCGTCTCTTTTACCACTTCCGCCTTAACATAACTCAAACCAAATCTCCAAATCGACGGCCAAAACCGAGCGAAAACAGATTGACAAGCATATGATTTACCTGTGAGACGAAGGCTTTTCTCAGCGGGCGTTGCAACGAAAGCGCCATGAAACCGGAGAGAAACCCATGGAATCTTGCGTGCTCAGGTACTTAGCTCTAATCTTCTTCTTCTTCTTCTTCTTCTTCTTCTTCTCATTCTGCTATTTCTGTTTCTGGATCCCTCGTGTTGTTGTGCGAAACTAAGCGCTTCGTTAAGAAGTGAAGAGTTGATACACGTGGTGATGGTTGAGTTTCTTTGCAGAGATATTGATCGAAAGAAAAACAATGATAATTGTTGAATCGATTTGCAGTTGCAGATTCTTGATGGCAATGAAGATTTGTTGAAGTTATTATTAAAGAATTGTGAAAAAGTCAATAATTGCAGATGAAGACGCATAAAGAAACAATGTTGAGAAATCATGGAGTCGTGAAGATTGAAAGAGCTTCAATGGAGGATTGTTCGATGATGATGAATATCTTGATGCAAAGAAGATTGTAGAGAAATACTGAGAGAGTTCTCAGATCCTTGGTGAGTTTTTGTTTTCTCCCTACTGTTATCAATCCCTTCTGTTGTGAACATATATTATGTTATATAGCTGTTAGGATATTGTTTTGGTTGGTTTTCTGTTAGAATTCAGTTTGCAGGTTAGTTAGAAATTGGTTAGGCGGTTAGAAAGTAGTTTATGATTGGTTAGGAGGTTGTTATTCAGTTACAGTCGGTTATGGGTTATGTAGAAAGTTGGTTAAAGGTTTTGGGAATTCTGTTACAGGTTATGTTGCTGTAAGTTATTTTGTTATAAGCTTTTTTATGTGCAGGGCTGTGGTTTATTTGGATATAAGTTATGCTTATGACTGAAACTGTTTGTGGTTGTTAGAGGCAGTTAAGAAATTCTATTATGCAGGGTCGTCTTTTCCTGTTATACGACTGTTGTGTTTGATTCTGAAATAAGTGGATCTTTATGATCAGTCTGCTTGGCTTTGTTGCAGGTTTTGGTTGAATCCAACTCAAGAGGGTGAAGGTCTGAAATCCGGGAAAGCTCAAATAAGAACACGAATGTCCTTTCCATGATTATGAATAACACTCAAGGGGGGTAAAATCTCAATCGAGAGAGGCCGTTTGAAGTATGAAGAAGGGGTGGAGCTTAGAACTAACTCCTTTCTTGTAATTTTTTTTTTGGAAAGTTTCTATGATAATGATGTAATATAGATTTGTAATGGCTTCTTTCGTGTACTATCAGTATAATGGTTTTGGATTATTTCTAATATGTGAATAGGCTTACGATCAAAACTTGGAAAGTGACATGGCGAACTTGGATAAACCGTGATATTTTGTAACAACTTGAAATTGCAATGGATTTTTCCCTCAATGGACAAGTTTGGATATGTATCTTTTCTTTTTGTGTAATCTTTCCAAGGTGTAAATGGAATGGTAGTTTGTAAATCTTGAATGTAGTCAAAATGGGATAGCACTTGAATACATTTTGTAAATTATGTAAATTTCAAATGAAATTCCATCTCTTGTTATAAGTCTATAAATCTATTGAAGAATCAATCTTGACTATGCATGTTCAATTTTGAATTCTTTTGGAAAATTATGCTCTTTTCAAGTAGCTTCCATAACTTGAATCTTCTCTAAAAGCGCCTTTATAGTCACAGCCAAACACTATTGAAAAGTCACTACGAACTTCATAAATTAAATTGACTTCCTTTACAAGGTAGAGACCTCGTCACGACTTGGTTTTCTTCCGAGAAATAAAGAAACTTTCATCCTTCGTTATTACCTTGAAATTCCCCATGTAACTTGGATGAACTATGACGTCTTCCTTCTCGATTTTGCTAATTTAACATGCATACATCAAATCTTGTACCATAACTTGTAATCCAAGCAATGCACTAAAGAATCATTTTCTTCCCTAATGAATATAACCTCATAAGAAAACCCTTCGGCCACCACATGAATATGGAAATAAACCCTAACTCAAATAATGATTGTAAGCACAAGAATATGATCTTGAAGGACCTCCACGTCTAAGCCCATGTCTTAGAAAAGAGCTATCCAATTTAACGATGATGCACAAGAACTTCCATACCTAAGTTCGAAGCCTTTTAGATGGATGTCTTGAGATCATGATTAGACGCACTGATAAACAAACCTCTTATGGAATTCCTCTTGGAGTTAACATGTTTGAGAAAATGAACTCGAATTCATGCAAAGATGATAAATGCAAGGATATGACCTTCAATACTGGAGTTTACAGCCCTTGGGTGACTTGTGAGTGACTTGCGTTGTATACAACCTTCAAGCTATTTCATGTGTTGAATGAAGCCAAAATGTTGAGAAGAGTAACTTTTGATATAATCCAGCCCTTTATTCATCAGATGACCTTGAGTATAGAGACATCAACCTTAATACTTGCATTTTTAGTTGAGATACCTGAAACAAGTTTGTGTGAATATGAGAGCCTCAAAGCATACAACAACCATAATTCCTTGAAATCCCTGATCCCATGTGTAGCGGTGAAAATCGGAGATCAAGCTATTAATTAACTTGACTCGCAAAAGCAAGAGTCGCCACCGCGCTTTATTATTTCCAAGGGAAAAGGGAAAAGAGCGAAATAAAACCCTAAAATATGCAATGTAAAATAATACTTAAAAGTAATAAAAAATACAATGCGTTTTTGAAAGAGATCGAGAGTTCGGGGGTTGGTTATACAATGGGAAGGTATTAGCACCCAATGCATTTGCGGTACTCCGCAGGAACCTTTTGAAATATCTATTTTTGGGTTAAAATTGTTTGTTTGATTAAAATGGTTTATTTGGTCAAAATGGGTATGGACGAGATTTTTGAAGATACGATGACCTAGTGTCGAGGTTTTGGCTTAAAAGGTATGAGTTTGAAAAATGGAGTCTTTTGGGAAAATTGCCTTAAGTTTGGAAAAATAGTAAACAAGCAAAAAAATGAATGAGGCTATTCGCACGATTGTAGAAGACGTATTTGATGACATGAAGTCAACTGAGTTGAAACATTTCCCTTGGATTTAATTATAAGCAGGTAGATCTAATATTCGAGTAAGAAAGCATAAATAATTAAAATCCACGAGAAACGAACAAGGTAGAGAAGGAGATAAATTGTAAGAAACTAAATGAAAAGACAAAGAAGAATCATGAATAAAAGAAAAATGTAATTAAAAAATTATCTAAACTAATTTGAAATTCTAAGGTTACTAAGTAAGCTAAACTTAAACTTTAAAGCGTCTAACTAAATTAAATAAAATTTTGAAGCCATTAACCAAAACTAAATTAAAATTCTAAAGTTACTAACTAAAATTCGTAAGCTATTAAATTAAATCTAAAATAAATCAACACTCTAATATTACTGAATCAGGTCTAAACTAAATTAATTCTAAAGTTACTAAATTACACCTAAACTAGTTTAAGTATAAACTAAATTCATTATAAAATTACTAATTTAATCTAAACTATATTAATAATAAAATTACTAACTTAAATCTAAACTAAACTAATTCTAAATTAAAGATTAAAATTCTAAGACTAAATTAAAATGTAAATTAAGTTAAAATTATAAAATTACTAAGTTAAATCTAAACTAAATAAAAATTCTAAAATTTACTAACTAAATTAAAATTAAAATTACTACAATAATTCTAACTTTAAACTAATTAGTTCTAATTAAAAAGGAATTTTTTTATAATTTTATATGATTAAACTAATAAACCTAATATTAAATCTAATCGACTATATATTTTTAAATCTCCTAGATTAAATCTAAAACAAAACTTTAAAGTAAGTAGATTAAAAGAATAAAAGATAATGTTAAAACATAAAATATGGGGTGTGCTGACAGTATTGGAGGGTATATTGGTTAGTAAACAAGGGCTCAAAGATTGAAAAGCCCAAACTTTTGTAACAATAACCTAACCTAAAAAATATAGTAATAACATATTAAAAAATACTAATCATTAAAAAAGGTGAAGAAGATTGAAAGGAGATTTCAAAGAGGCATTAGCTGTGAATAAATAGTGGAAGAAGCATTGAAAGAGGCACTACCAGCACCGGCACTAGTTGGTGTGGGAAGTTCCACATGCTTTCTTGAACGGTTTCTACCACGATGCATGTGTCTTTCACAGTACTTTTGTCCAGCCACCACATCCCTCGAGCACCGCCATTTTTTGCCGTCGGTTCTCCGGCAACGACCGGATTCTGGATCCATTGCTCCTCTTCCTTTCTTGAGCATCCCTTTCCTTCTTCTCATACATATTCCTCAATATTTAAAAAAAACATGTAAGCTGCTTGTTTCTCAATGGAAAAAAAAAGGAATAGAACCTGATTGAAAACCCATGAAATCGTGGCGAAGCTTGGTGGCGGTCCGCTTGCATCTTTATATTTATCCACTTTGTTCTTAGATTGAAGTATTGTCTTCTTCTTATCAGCATCCTTGGCTTCTACCACAGAAGAGACATCACTATTTGATAATTTCAAAGAGGAAGAAGGATCTGAAATTGGTATAATATCAGCCGGTTCCTTTTTCAAAGTAGTTATGGAGACCTCCGATTGATTTTGAGATTTCAAGTCTTCATAATGTTCACCAGGTACAGCCAAATTCTGTGAGGAATTAAGTGTATTCTTCACAGGTAATGGCGCAGTCTTTCCTGCAGCTGTCTTGCCCACTTTTACATGCTTATTTGATACACGTCCATCAATGTTTTCACCTGGATTCTTCAATATATCTTTTCGGCACCTTTTCTTTGCTGGCTGATTAGGTAATGCCGGAGGTTCATTTATGCATTCCAATTTCCCCCTATTTATGAAGAAACCGTCATGTTTGATTACAGAATCGTCAACCTCAAAATATTCATCCAGTTCAGCGTCATCAATGAAAGAGTCTTCTGTATCATATTGATCATCATGAACAACAGGTAGATCCTCATCGTCACTATCCTTACCCATGTAAAGTCGTTCAATCTTCTCTATTACAGCACTGAACCGGTTTGTCTGGGGATGGGTTTAGAGTGAGTGAAGTGTGTTAGTTTGGTTTGCGGATTCCGGAAGAGAGAAATTGAAGGGGTTTGTTGTTGTGGATGTGAATTGAATAGAGAGGGATGGTTAATAGATCCATAAGTGTAAGCTTGTTTTTTTGTTGTCATTTTTGTGTGTTTTTCTTAGGTGGTGGCGACTAACTAACCTAGTTAGTTTGCTGGGTTTTTTAGTTAGATGGTGAAAATGTGAGTGATTTGTTGTGGAGGGAGAAATGGTGGTAATTTGCTAGATAGTGAGAGGAAAGTGAGTTGGACATAAGTGCAGGGAACATATTTGGCTTTTAAGAAAAAACAAAACACTAGAAGTTGGAGAAGAGAGGAAAGGTTACTGCAAGTGCTATTTTTTGTTTTGTTTTTATGTATTGATCCTCAATTTCATCCAACAACCAATGAAAATCAAGCATAGTATATTTAATATTTTTTTGTGACTAAAAAGCCCTTTAATGACAAAAATAAAAATAAAACTTGAAAGTATAAAAAAAACTCAATTTAAAATGATTTTTTTGAATATTTTATGAATAAAAAATAAAGACCCAAAAATGACCGAAAATGATGAAAAAACGGACGGAAATTTATCCGAAAAAATAAAATGAACACATTAAAATAATCTACATGTCACAAAGGTTAAAGAAAAAATATTCAAGAAGTCAAAAATCAAAAATAAAATAATAATAAAAATATCAGACTAAACAGACGTTTAAGGTTAAAACGAGACTTCTAACTGTACCGAAAAATAAAGCGAGCATACCGTCATAATCTACGCGAAGCGCAGATTCATAAAATGATCGGTAAAAGGTGAAAACTTGAAATATTTTCTCGCTACTTTCCCGCATAGTGTCGAATCGCTTTTAACAGTCTGTCTATAAAACCAAAATATTTTTATTATCGACATATAAACAACTTGGAGCAATGCAACAAATGAGTAAATAGATAAAAATGCATGAAGCAAAATGCCGGGTATTTTACAACTGAAAGACGATGCAAATTTTGATTTAAACTGACTTTTTCCGATCAACTTAAATACGACTAATGATGCAAAATGTGATGAATGAAGATATTTACTAGTGATCGTGACCAAATAACAAAATATGATATGAAAGTGCGACTAAAACATATTAGGGGAGAAATTAAGGGTGCAACGGTTGTGCCTTGATGAATCAGTCTTCGAGAATCCACAATCAACCGTACTTCGGGCTCGGGGGACTCAAAGCCTTAATTGAGGCGCGACACCTGATGCTCTTGATTCAGACATGTCTCTGCACATGAAACAAAAGAAAACATGAACATACACCTTTGTATGCGATTAGAAATTAGTGATACATATGCTAAAAATGTTCAAAACACTTGACAATCTTAGCATAGTCAAAGCTCGAAGGTGAGACGTTAAAACCGACCGTATTTCGTGACCTTGGCTTATGTTTAAAAATGCAAAAATAAATATGGGATCTTAGGTCAAAAATTGGGGTACAACACCATGCCAAATTATTGACCAACGATGCATGACGTGCAAAATGACCTAACGGAGGGTATGCAGATGGAATGAAGAGTGTAAGATGCGTAAGATAGATAAAAGCAAAGGGGTAGGACAAATTTGGGGTATTACAGCTGCCCTTATTTAATCGTCTTAAACCTGAAAGTACGATTGGCACATGCCTTTCGGAAGTTCAAGGTTGAAGATGATTAAATATCAATGCCAAAAATTTGTCTTGGGAGGAAGTGTGAGTATTTATTTATTTGTGGTATCAGCTAGAATTTTGATTTTTTTTAGTGAAAATACGGAGATTGGACTCGTAATGTGGCGTGATGCCAATACAAGACAAATGGTTGGTATGAAAAGACAGCGGACGAGGTCTACGGGCGACCTACGATCCTAAGGTGACACATGAGAGTGATTTTACAGAGAACCTAGCCTAAGGGCGATCTCAGGTTCTAAGACAAAATATATGGAAAGAACCTAGCCAAGAGGCAATCTCAGGTTCGATGATGATTTGAGGGAAGAACCTAGCCAAGAGGCAATCTCAGGTTTGACGGTGACGGTATTGGGAAGAACCTAGCCAAGAGGCTATCTCAGGTTCTAAGAAGGTGATCTAAGGAGGAACCTAGCCAAGAGGCAATCTCAGGTTCGACGGTGATCTATGGGAAGAACCCAACCAAGAAGCGATCTCAGGTTCGACGATGATCTATGGGAAGAACCTAGCCTACGAGCGATCTTAGGTTCGAAAATGATCTGAGGAAGAACCTAGCCAAGAGGCGATCTCAGGTTCGACGATGATCTATGGGAAGAACCTAGCCTACGGGCGATCTCAGGTTCTAGGATGATCTAAGGAAGAACCTAGCCTACGGGCGATCTCAAATTCTAAGATGATCTATGGGAAGAACCAAGCCTACGGGCGATCTTAGGTTCGAAGATGATCTGAGGAAGATCATAGCCAAGAGGGGATCTTAGGTTCGACAATGATCTATGGGAAGAACCTAGCCTATGGGCGATCCCAGGTTCTAGGATGATCTAAGGAAGAACCTAGCCTACGGGCGATCTCAGGTTCTAAGATGATCTAAGGAAGAACCTAGCCTACGGGCGATCTCAGGTTCTAAGATGATCTGAGGAAGAACCTAGCCTATGAGCGATCTAAGGTTCTAGGATGATCTGAGGAAGAACCTAGCCTACGGGCGATCTCAGGTTCTAAGATGAAAACATGGGTTACGACATGATGATTGTTTAGATAAGTGACACGGACGAGCATCAAGGAAGGTTAAACATGGACGAGTGTTTGAATCAATATGGACGAGTATTGAAGGAAGATACAAGCGAGTATCAAAGGTTAAACATGGACGAGTGTTTGAATCAATATGGATGAGTATTGAAAGAAGATACGGACGAGTATCAAAAGGTTAAACTCAGACGAGTGTTTGAACCAATACAGACGAGTATTGAAAGAAGATACGAACGAGTATCAAAAGGTTAAACACGGACGAGTGTTTGGGTCAATACGGACGAGTATTGAAAGGAAATATGGGCGAGTATCAAAAGGTTAAACACGGACGAGTGTTTGAATCAATACAGACGAGTATTGAAAGGAAATACGGGCGTGTATCAAAGGTTAAACATAGATGAGTGTTTGAATCAATACGGATGAGTATTGAAAGAAGATACGGACGAGTATCAAAAGGTTAAACTCAGACGAGTGTTTGAACCAATACGGACGAGTATTGAAAGAAGATACAAACGAGTATCAAAAGGTTAAACACGGACGAGTGTTTGGGTCAATACGGACGAGTATTTGAAAGAAGATATAGACGAGTATAAAAGGTTAAACATGGACGAGTGTTTGGGAGACTGACATGGATGAGTGTTTAGGAACTGACACAGACGAGTGTTAGAAGTCGACACGACGAGTATTTTGTCTTGGACTTGGTGTATTGATTTTGCTGGGTACTTGAAAAGGTGAAGGTCATCGACTGGGGATTTTGGGCATGATACCCTCCTGTATGGATGTATTGTTATCCTTGAATAATTCAGGTCTTTTGTGTAAGGTACCTGATTTGGCTTATGCTTTATATGCATGTTTGAATTTCTTTTGCCGCAAAGATCCATTCTGATGGATCGGCTACGCGCTTTTGAGGATGAAATGTTATGCAATGATAACTATATGCAATGTGAAGAAATAAACTTCATGGGGATAAGAGAAGGCTTGCTGGGAACCATTGCTCATCACTGGGGATGTCAATACATATTGACGCTGGAAGCCTACGGTACCGAAGGTCGCTGGAGAATACTGACAAGAACTTGAACTGGGGAGCTCTTGAAGATCAAAGATCGTTGTTGACTCTGCTGAAGACTGAATTTATGACGAAGTGAGTCTTCAGGTACGATGCTAGATTCTGAATCGTACCGTTGGGGAAGAGATAATCTGGATAGTCTTCCAAGACATCCTGAACTGTTGAAAGGATGGTAGAGCTGAACACGCCGAAGAATGGATACTGAACACCATGTGAATCTCTTTGAATACATGCCCCAAGTTTATGCACACTGGGGAATTATCTCTTGAATCAATTGAGGATAATAGATAGGCATGGACACTCATAAATGCCCTGGTTTAACTCTGCAAATGCCCCGGTTTAGCTCCACTGGGGACGTTCTTGATTAACTCCACTGGGGATGTACTTGCGCGTGCCGAGTCAAAAGATGATTCTGGACTTTCTAAATTCACTTGGGGAATCAGACTTGAAGTTGTCCGTAGCAGATGAAGGAAACTTCGTGTGCTGGTTAGTTCAGGGTGACTGTTATGATGCTTTTAGCTGATTGTAGTGGTCTCGTGCAACATAATTGGCTTGAGCAACTTTGCAAGTATGGATGAGGAATGCCCCTGTCTGGAGTTTCTCTGAGAAGTTGAATAGAAGACCGGAATATTCGTGCCACAATATGATATGAGGTAGCCTGCCCCAATGTCTTGAGTCACGAAGTAAATTACTCTTGATTACAGCTTTCTTGGAGAGATTTGCTGAATCTCGACGTAACTGCCCCCATATTCCATGAATTTTGAATAGATTCCTCAATGTGATAGCCCCTAATTGATGGCAACTTGAAGAGATTTATCGACGTGATAGGCTCTGATTGACAGCTTTGAGGGAATGCCCCAGATTTGGCTGAGCTTAGAGAGATCGACTCTCGACTTACTTGCCCCAGATTAGCGGAATCTGCTAACTTCATCCCTGAAGGGTACTCAGACTGTGAAGCACTAAGATGATTTCTCTTGACAGAATCACTGGTTAACATGCCTATGGATTAGTCATTTCTCTTGTGGCAGCTGACTCTTGCTTCAACAGGGTATTCAAGCCTCTCTTCTCTGACAAGATTGAGATCTTTACCGGTTGTTCATTGTGTAAACTTACTTGATGTCAATCAGTTGTTTTGTATGCAGAATAATGTTTATTATGAGAATGATAATTCTAATGCAACACATATGTAAGTCTTGAAGTTTGAAAAAACTTTGAATGAAATGACGTCACAACTCTGTTGTGACCGAGTCACTAGCTAGAGAAATATTTACAAATTCCTTTTTTATGAAAGATAATGCAAGCATATGATGCCAACACAAATATTGGAACGTACCTCTTAGGAGTCAGTTAAACGCTATCTCGTTGTAGCATGCTTTCGAATTGACCCATGCTTCAGTTAGGACTTTTATGGGTTGTAACGTGTCCTGGTTCACAGTTTTAGAAAAAAGGATTTAAGGCTCAAAATTATTTGGTGCCCACCCATTCTCCATGATGTTCTCCATTCCTACGTTCAGTTGACCTGGTACAAGTATTCATCTCTCTAGAAGAGTTTGCGATGGTTGAGGAACCACTGTGGTTTCTTGGACACGACAGTCGCTAACTTCTGATTTTGGTGTCCGATCAGATGACTTTGTTCTTTGATGAGGATTTTCATTGGTAATCCTTTTCTTGCCTTTTAGGCTTTTCAATTTCTTTCTTGCTTCCCATAATTTTTTCCTGGACAAATTCTTTTGAATTTCGATTTGGAAGTCCAGCGGGATGCCCCAACTTTTGCCTAAGCGACTTGTTTTCAAGTTTCAACTTAGCGGGGATTTTTGTTTCTTTCTTATTCGTATTTTCACTTTGAACAAGTCGTTGATATTTGCGCTGTCTTTGATTTGTCGGAAGTGATCGTGACTGTTTGAGTCTTTAGTAGATGAGGGATAACCATTATTGTATCGTCATTTGTTGACCTCCTGAAGTGTGAGAGATACTGTTTTACCCCAAAATTTTCCCTCTCATTTTATCAACATTTTCTCATCACAAGACTCTTGGAACTCAAGATCAAGCTAGGGTTTGCTCTGCTCAAGACACCTCCTTGCATTGTTGACCTAAATCAGGGTTTGAGTTTGCACAAGGATGTTTTGACCTACAATGCCCAAAGTGACTTTCATACTTCATGTTGGATTCACAAGTTTTTCCATACCAAGTTTTAAGCCTTGATTCAAATTTTTGCCCAGTCAATTGGACAGTTGACCTAGAAATCAGCTGAATTGGGGAAAAAGTCAACTGTGGACAATTAACAGTCAAACCTCATGAATTTTGACCCACATCAACATTATGAACTCATATGAATCATTTGATCAAGTTTGGATCACAATTCCACAAGAAATTTGATCAGATCACCAAAAGGGCAAAATGGTTATTTTTAGGGTTTTGATTGTACAAAGGCAGTTTTTGACTGTTTGACCTAACCAATGGCAAATCAAGTTTAACCATGGACACGAGGACTCAATGACATTGTCTTTACCCATTCAACAAGTTCAAAAGATCTCAAATGCATAGGATTGACAGATGAATTTTTCAGTCAACTGATCAAAATTTGACTATACACTGAAAAGTCAAACTTTGACTTTTTGGTCAAAATCAAGTGCCAAGATTCATTTTCCATCAAGACATGTAAAATTATGAAACTTGTTCATCAAGAATCCCAAAATTACAAATTAGGGTTTAAAATGGAAAAATTTCATAACTTAGAAATTTTCTAAGTTATAAAATTTTCTTATTTTTTCCTAACTTTGTCCCATTTTTTCACCAATATGCAAAAGGATTCAATCAACACTTAAAACATGAAAGTTGTAGTCCATCACAAAGTCTACAACTTTGATTAATAAAGTTTTCTCAAAAGAAGCTTGGATCTCAAGTTATGATTTTTGGAACAAGGGTACCTAAAACTTTTAACTTAGAGAAATTTTGCCCTAGTTTAGGCAGGATTTTGACCCATCTTCTTGGCCATTTTTCACATAGTTCCACTTGGAGTCTTCAGTTGAATTCAAAGATGGATTATAGTACATGTTGCAAGATTTACAAATTGTCCAAGAACTCCTCAAACACCTTTGTGGTTAGGGAGAATCGAATGCTTGAAGTTAGCAAAAACTCACTTTGTAACCATGGCCAATACATGTTCATACCAAGTTGCAAATCTGACCAGACTAGCTTAGTACATAATTACAGGCCTCTAAACCAATTTACACTCAAAAATTGAATGCAAATACATTGGATATTGGCATTGTTCTGATCAAGGGAGCCTTGTACATTGAACATTTCCATTTTAAGCATAAAGATCACACTTCCATTTTCATAAAAGATGAACTTTTGCAAAGTTGTCTTTCTTGAGCTTTGAACTTCTCTCTTTGCAGCAAAAAAGTCCCACAAACTTAGGCAAAGGTACAAAGAGTTGTTGCATGCTTGGAGATAGCCTGTACAGGCCTATCTCATTTCACTTCAAACTTTTCTTTCAAAACAAGCCATTGTGCAAAAAGTCAATAACTCATACATCTGATAAAACCAACTCAAACAAAGTTGTAAAACAAGTTTCATACATCCTTGCAAGCCAGAAGCACGAGCCTTTGACCTCTCAAACCTCCTCATACTCAAAAACCCCATTTTCTTGCAAAACAGAGTCAGTTCTACAAATCACATGCCACATTCAAATCCCCTCGTGCGTTTTGTCGAAAATCACTTCAAACACATTCTAAACAACATACCTAAGCTGTCCAGACCATTCACAAGTTGTTGTAACTCCATTTACAGTGTTCACCATTTCTGTTTGAAAGCTTTGCAGGTTGAGTTCTGTAGCACGATTCAAGCCACCTCAAAAATAGCTAAGCATTGGGAAAGGTTCAAGGGACATCAGGCAAGCTCAAAAGAACCTCAGGCCTCATTGGGAGTTGCTGCATTTCCCAGCTCGAACTCAACTAAAACAGGTATTTCATGAACTTCTATCTCTCTATTTAGGAACATTTAGACTTAGGCTTGTGAATGAAAGATGTTGTATTCATTGCCCTGAAACCATACATATGCTCAGTTGTCATTTATATTAATCGTGCTAGGGGAATTTTATCCATGAACTTTCTGAAAAAACTAGGTTAGAAATTAGGGCTAGAGAAATTCTCTCTGGTCTTTGAGAGTTAGTTTAAGTTTTTTATATGGTTAGATTCGTTGTTTGATGCTCTACAAGTTTCATGTTTGGAGTTTTATCAAAAGATCATAAATACAGGAGATACAGGTTTGTGTAGCAAGCGCGCGTTTTTTCAAACTTCTGGAAGTTGAAGATGAAGTCTGGGCTGGGCCTGGATTTCTTTGCTTCCAACACCCCCTTTTTCAGTTTCACACCCCCCTGGCCCATTTCTTGTATATTTATCATTTTTGCATTTTTATTTCATTTCTGACTTTGATATTTTATTTTTAAATATAAAAAATGCTCCAAAAATATTTTCATAAATTTTTATATTTATTTGGTATTTATTTTAATTATTTCTAACATTGATATATTTAAATACTTTATATTATTTTGTTTAAACCTAAAAATAATGTAAAAAATACTTATATTTTCATTTATTATTTTTATTCACATTTGAACATATTTTCTTGAAATATATGCATTTTTTGTAAATATTTTATTTTATTTTTACACACTTAACATATATATATATATATATATATATATATATATATATATATATATATATATATATATATATATATATATATATATATATATATATATATATATATATATATATATATATATATATATATATATATATATATATATATATATATATATATATATATATATATATATATATATATATATATATATATATATATATATATATATATATATATATATATATATATATATATATATATATATATATATATATATATATATATATATATATATATATATATATATATATATATATATATATATATATATATATATATATATATATATATATATATATATTATTAAATAATTAGAACAAAAAAACATAAAATAATACATTTTTATTTTTATTTTAATTTTATACTAAAAAAAACATTTTTTTATAATATATTTCATTTTTATACATATTAATATATTTTTGTACATAAATAATACATTATATATATTTTCTTAAGAAATTAGGGTTTTTGCCCTAAAACCAAATAAAATTAAATTTTTATTTCTTTACATTTCTTTCCATTAAAAATATTTTACATACATAAAAAACCTTTTTTTGCATAATACATTTTATCTCATATTTATTTATTGTATTTATTTAAATATTATACAATTAAATATTATGCCTTGCAAATTCAATATGGTTGTAATAATTTAGGGTTTAATTTCTTGTAAAATAATCCCCTATTCAAATTTGTACCCCCTCCCATATATCATGTTGTAATAGTGTAGAATTTAAATTCTCGCACCTTTAAACTTTCAATTATGCCATGATTAGAGAGTTAGGGTTTGTATGCAAAATCAAAACCAACAAATAGTTTGACCTAATCAAAGACAAAAAAATGCATGAAAAACAAACACAATGCACACTTACACCCCTAGGGTTACAATCCACTTGTTGTCTTCAAAAATGGGCCATGGTATGCATGTCAAGTACTTTGGCAAAACAAAAACAAAACAAAAGATCATAGTCCCTCTATGACGCTATCTGAGTTGCCTAAAACAAAATGATCAAGTCCCTCAAGAAAAATTGCCAAAAATACTTGACACAATTGCTATCATGGTCTATACGATGACCCGCGCCTGTCCCGTTTAACATCCTAACACAAGGTTGTTCACCAAATACAATGGTGAAACAACACTGTTAAAAGGGTTAAAAACATAAGAAAGATCTTTGAGTAAAATAGGGTAGATAACTCTTAGTTACTTGATCAAAGCTTGCAAAAACATCCTTGCTATCTTCAAAACACACTTCACAATACAACTTCAAAAACAATTTCAAAACA